ATGGTTCGCCACCCAGAACTGTAAACTGGCCGTCGAGTAAATTTTTTCCCCCAAACAGATCCAACCATTTGGCCTCTTTATTCTTGGGGGTCGAACTGGTATGCCCCTGCTTGTCTCTTTCATTGGCCGCAGAGACCACCAGCAAGCCTGGGGGAGGGTGGGTATAGAGGTATTTAAACCCTTTGGCCAGGACAAAGTATTTCTTTTGGGCCCTTTTTGATGTGGGAGGAATGGAGGAAGGAGTTTGCCAGAGGCCCTCGGTAACCTTGAGGACACCGTCATACACTGGTAGCGCGACAAAGGTTGGGGTAGAGGCTGACAGGACATTCAACAAGGTGTCTGCCTACTCAGCCATTTCCTCCACCTCCAGGCTCAAGTTCTCGACCACCCAACACAGCAGGGCCTGGTGTTCTTTGAAATTGTCCAGCAGGCTGGCCCTTGAGGGTCTCGCAACCACCTCATCTGGGGAAGAGGACATGATTTCACCACCAGGGAAGGCTCCGGGGCATCTTCCCCCATCTGGGAGGGAGGCTTAGGGGTGGGGACAGTGTCCTCTGTCTTGACCACAGATCATGCCTCATGCACAGAGCCTGGTGCCATCAACGCCGCCAGCTGTTGCTTTGAGGTGGCGGCTGATGAGCAGTGTGAAGGGGGCATTGCCACAACCAGCATTCCCCACGCGCCCCAATAAGGCCACTGGCCATGCTGCCAAGTCAGCGCTGTTGATGTCGATGCAGCCTCGGGTGCCCATTCGCACCGGTGCAGTCTAGGTGAGGGGCTGAACTGGGCTTCCGTGCCAGAGGAATCCCCGTCCGGTGACCACAGTGGGGCCATCGACGCTTGGGTCTGTTGAATGACTGTTGTTGTTGGAGAACAGTGCCCAGTGCGAGGTGATCGGTGCTGGTATCAGGAGAACCGGTGCCGGGGGGACTGGAGACGCAACAGAGAGTGCTCCCACGAGGCAGGTGACCGGGCCCTGCGCCGAGAGGACGATCGGTGTGAGGGTGAGCAGCGTTGGTAGTACGGAGACTGGCGTCTTGCTCTAGGTGATGCACGTTAAGACAGCGGTGACCGCAAATGTGAACGAGCCCCAGAGGGTCTGGGCTGCTTTGTCTAGGGGGATCAGTGGCACTCCACTGCCCCGTTAAGGGTCTTAGCGGCTGGTTTGCCCTCGTGGGGAGCTTTTGCCGGTTCCTAAGGCACATGCTGCATTGGTGGCACGGGCGGAGACCTGTGTTCTCTCGGCGCTGGGGGAATCTATGAAGGCGCTGGTACCACCAGAGTTTTTGGTCCCATGCTGCTCCCAGGAGTCGGTGGTGGACGTTTCATGGAGCTAAAGGCCTCGACCAGGGAGGTACAAGTGCGCAGCTCCAGAGTGGCCAGGGGGCCCAAAGCGGGTCCCTTGCCTGATGACCATGGCCCTTTTTGCCCAGTGCTGCGGAGTCATGCTTTTTGGTCTTCTTTTTGGGCACTGGCGCCAGGGGCGCACTGCGCACCGAGGCTGAGGTACATCGCAAGTCCTGACGGGGCTGCACGAAGGCCGGGCACAGGGTGGACTCCATGAGGAGAGCCCGTAGCCGAATATCCTGCTCCTTTTGTGTGCAGGGCCGGAAGTTCTTACAAATTCGGCACTTGTCTCTAACGTGTGACTCCCCTAAGCTCCTGAGGCAGCTGCAATGGGGGTCACTTACAGGCATAGGCCTGCTGCAGTCCGAGCAGGGATTAAACCCGGGAGACCGGGACATGCCCCTCCTGGGGCAAAGTCCCTGCTGGGACCCTAACTGCTAACTATTAATTACACTTAACAACTACTTAACACTAACTACTAGAAACAAACTACTTACAAGGCCCTAAGGCTCGAAGTCAGTAGACAAAAAAAACCCGCTAGCCCTTGCAATGCAAGGAAAGGTGCTCCGACTAACCACCATGGGCGGTAAGAACGAACTGAAAGGGCGTAGGGTCAGCGGTGCCTGATATACTGGCACGTGTGCATGGCATTCAAGGGGGCGCCACTGCTGACCCTACAGATACCGCTAAGGTAAAAAATCTCTGAAGACCGTGCACCTGGGCGCGCACACACCTAGAATGGAATTGACTTAAGCAAGCACTTGAAGAAGAATGAAAATGAGTTACTCAACAGAAAGTTTTTCAAACTACATTAATGGCATCTAGTGGATTATGGGTGTTACTACAGTTTTCTTTTACTCAACTGGTAGTAACAAACAAGTATCACTTGAATTATTAACAATAGCCACTGTTTAACTTTGATGTACGCCCATGCCATAATCTGATTAGAAGCAGAATTAAAGCTCATAAAAGCTCACTTGCAATTAGGAAAACTAATGAACACATGGGTTGATATTTCTGTATCTACTTAACACCTACTTTAACACTCATACTGTCACTTTAGTTTGTTTTAAGTAACATGCACATTCTCACTGTAAATATTAATACTTTAACTGGCTAAATGGCTGAAAATTACAACTATTGACACATCTGTTAAAAACAACCCAGGCACAGGACTGAAAACAAACTCTTAATGAAGTATACAGCAATACTCGGGAAACACCCAACTATATCATCTTGCACTTCTCATCAAATTGATCCTATTACACTAGCCAAAATATTATAACCTCTACCTCTCTTCTGTATCCCGAAGAGACTAATAACCTTTTTGAACACGTTGGACTCACTTGGCATTTTCCGAATTTAGATTCAACAAGGACAAACTTCACACACAGTCTTTTGTTGCACATTGGAGACTTACAGTGAAGGTTCCTTTGGGTTTTTGTGCATTCTCTCATAGTCAGCTCTGCTTAAATGAAGAATGTTTGTGTTGTTTCCTCTAGCATTCCTGGCCATTAGTATTTCAAATTTAGTGTATTCTGATTCATTCTAACTAACAGCTACCAGCTTTACTAGAGTTACTGTAGTTTACGTGACTTATACCTTGTACTTAGATCTAACTTCTGACCAAATAGAGCTGTTCAAAAACTGCATGAAAAGCAATCCTATACTACCTAAAAATGAGTAGTTACACCCATACAGCTTAAATGCATAAGCTTTATCCAAATTAATAAAAGGCCTTAACCCAGAGGTGGGCAAACTACGGCCCGCGGGCCACATCTGGCCCGTGGGACTGTCCTGCCCAGCCCCTGAGCTCCTGGCCGGGGAGGCTCGCCCCTGGCCCCACCCCCACTGTTCCCCCTCCCACACAGCCACGCGGGCAAAAGGGCTGCAAGCTCCTGCCGCTCTGAGCAGCATGGTAACGGGGCGGCGGTGGGGGGGGTTGGGTAGGGGGTCCCGGGGGGCAGTCAGGGGACAGGGAGCGGTTGGACGGGGCGGAGGGTCTGGGGCGGTCAGGGGTTGGGGCACAGAAGGGGTTGGATAGGGCATGGGAGTCCTGGGGGGCCTATCAGGGGGCAGGGGTGTGGATAGGTTGGTGCAGTCAGGGGACAGGGATCAGGGGAGGTTGGATAGGGGATGGGACCCCAGGGGTCAGTTTGGGGCAGGAGGTCCCAGGAGGGGGCAGTCAGGGGACAAGGAGCAAGGGGCGGTTGGATGGGTCGGGGGGCGAATAGGGGGCAGGGGACAGGCTTTTTGGGGGGCACAGCCGTCCCTAACCGGCCCTCCATACAGTTTCACACCCCGATGTGGCCCTCGGGCCAAAAAGTTTGCCCACCCCTGCCTTAACCTGATGAAAGCAACCCACTACCTAAAGCTCCAATGGCCTCCTGAGCTATACCACTGCACTGACCATTCACGATTCTGAAAGGGGTGCTTCCCTTTCAGTAACAACCACATAGTGCAGCATCTGGCGTTCCCAGGCCACATGTGACCAGCACAAATAAGGCACAAAAATTACAAGCTAAGACAAGTGCTTTGAAGAAGCATCTAGGATGACATCTCAAAGCAAAGTAAATCTGTCCCACAAGAACTGATGTTCAGTTCGGCAAGAAAGATTCATGAAGAGCCTACGGGGGCTGAAAATTTGGTGCCACTGTGCCTAACAACTTTGAAGAAACAGCAAGTCACCTGCCAGACAAATGCTTCAACCAAGTGTTTCTGAAATACCTCAACAGTTGGGGATGGAAGAGGAAGAAGGGGAGAAAGAGAGAATCTCTCTACAAATCTGCAGAGCTTTCCATCAAATGCTGGGAAGAGATATTCAGAATAATTTTACATCTCTCACAGGAGGGAAGGCACTTTCCTGTTGTTCCCATAGTAGAAACACATTAATTTCACAACTGCTGTACTAAATCAAAGCACTCCCCCCTTTCTGTTATGCTCCCCATTTACAAAAAGCAACAACATAGTTTGGATCTGGAATGACACTTTTTATCAGGGGTGTCCAAACTGCGGCTCTTCAGAAGTTAATATGCATAGGTGCTGACTCCGGGGCTGAAGCTCCACTGCTCAATCCCAGGCCCTGCCCACACTCCACCCCTTACCCCAAGGCCCCTGCCCCTTCCTGCCCCCTCCCCTGATCCTGTTGCACTCTTGCTCCTCCCACCTCCATCCCAGAGCCTCCTGTACACTTCGAAACAGCTGATCGCGGCAGGCAGGAGGCACGGGAGGGAGGGGGAGGTGCTGATTGGCAGGCCTGCCGGCGGGCAGGACGTACTGGGGGGAGGGGGACTGCTGATGTATTACTGTGGCTCTTTGGCAATGTACTTTGGTAAATTCTGGCTACTTCTCAGGCTCAGGTTGGCCACCCCTGCTTTATATTATGAGACCTAAACAAGAAAGAACAAAAGTAAAGTCTCCGTGAGAGTGCACAAATGTGTTTCTCCTCTAACATGCTGTATTATCTTTGACTCACAAAACAGCAGCTACTTCTGCAGTACCCTTAGAAATGCGAAGGTGAAGTAAACAGAAAACAAGATCATAACAGATATATTACACCTTGTACACTAACACCAACATGTTCTGTGTTTAAAGACCAAATTTTAAAACAAGATAGTGTACACCCATGACCATGATAAAATACAACTACTTACCTGCAGTTCCTAAGCTAAGTAGCACAGCAACCCAGAACACCCAGAAGAAAATGAGAATCAAAAAGGTCCATAGTGGCTGGAACAGTAGGGAAGGGACCCTGCTAATTATTTTATTAGCAAACCAAAAGAGCTGTACAGTCAGCTGAATCCTCTTCCTTAATACAAATATGAGGGAAAGTAGAACCATCTATTAAAAGAGATGAAAAACAAATCAGAAAAATAGTAAACTAGGAATTTCTTTCTTAAATTATCAGAAGTTGTCAAATTTTGTAGGGGGAGCATGGTGCAGATTTCACAAAGGGACCGCAGGAGAACATGTCTTTGCATAAAATTATTATGCACTAAATCTTTAACACTGAACTGCAAACAACACCTAAAAGACATAGCACACTGGAAACTATAAAACAATAAACATTCACAATAGAAGCTGCTTCACCACTTTTCTAGTCTGCTCTACAAAGATGCCAGAAGCTCTCAGAAGAGCCACTGGGAGCAGACGATGTATTTGGAATTCTACAAATGGCAAATGTATTGCACCTGAACAAATCTGCATCCAAAGAAACCTTTTCTTATTCTTGTATTTAGCAAGAGAAGAGGTGCAGTGCCCACCGTCCGATAATGTACAGAGAATATGCAAGCAAGCTCTAGTGTATATCACAATTATATTGGTCACTTTAACACAATACAAACTGTTCATTGTGTGCAACCACATTTTCTTTTAAAGAAACATTAATGTAACTGACTCATTTCCCAACAATATATGAACTATTCACACATTCATACTGGGCTACGATGCTAAATAAGGTGAAACATTCATTTCAACAGCATAAAGTCATACTAATCAGGTTGTGTGGTGAACAGGAGGTGGATGACAGGAAGGCAAAAATTTAGCACTACAGCTTGTGGCCAGCAAACTAAACAGCAGCACTGAGCTTCCACCCCACTGCAATGGCTGTTACCTTGTACGTGGCACAAAGGAGCATGTTGGGTCCACAGGATTCACATTTCCATGGATCCAGTGTCTCTCTGCTCACTCAGCCCCACCATTAGCTTAACTGAGGATGGCCTATAGACCCACACTGCAGCAGTGTGCCAAGGGCAAAAGTCCTGCAGCACAGCTGCTCTGCTGGCATCGTCCTACAGCCCTAGCACAGGGTTTAAGTTTGTGGAAAGCCTTGTACAGACTCTACATAATACAGGTGGATGTCCCATAAAATGTAAAAAAAGGATTAAATAATTATAAGCAGATCTTATTTGGCTGCAAATGGAAAGCAGAATGCACCTGAGTGCAATCCACAAAGGGATAAACTGACCATGTCATGGTTGAATCACCATCACACAGCCTCAGTTACTCTCTACAGTGGAGTCAAGTATCAGAACGGTAGCCGTGTTAGTCTGGATCTGTAAAAGCGGCAGAGTCCTGTGGCACCTCATAGACTAACAGACGTATTGGAGCATAAGCTTTCGTGGGTGAATACCCACTTTGTCGTTATTCACCCACGAAAGCTTATGCTCCAAAACGTGTGTTAGTCTATAAGGTGCCACAGGACTCTTTGCTGCCTCTACAATGGAGTTTCCACTTTTCTATGTCAAGCGTAAATAAAGGAGGGAGCATGTGCACTCACATTGCTATAATATAGTTTTATTTCAAAGTTTCAGATTACCATCTCTAACATTAAGCTCCCCAAAGATCATTCCGTAAAATTTCTCACCGTAATCACGGTAGATAGGATAGCAAATCCAAGTAAAAATTTTACATTTTCCTTTTCAGTTTCCAGTTCTATGCTTGGGTCGTTGGTGTAGTCATAGTAGAGCCACCACAGAACACCTGAGACAACTAGAACAAACACAAATCCATGAAGGTGCAGACAGAGCTTCACAAGTGACTGGCAAGCTAATGCACACAGGTTATGGCTCTGTTACCTTCTCCTCTTCAATTACAAATTAACTGAAGAATGGAGCAGTGTAGCACAAAGTGAGAAACATTAGGTGTAAATCAAGGGTTCTCAAACTGGGGGTCAGGACCCCTCAGGGGGTCTCGAGGTTATTAGATGGGGGGGTCACGAGCTGTCAGCCTCCACCCCAAACCCCACTTTTCCTCCAGCATTTATAATGGTGTTAAATATATAAAATGTGTTTTTAATTTACAAGGGGGGTCGCACTCAAAGACTTGCTATGTGAAAGGGGTCACCAATACAAAAGTTTGAGAACCACTGGTGTAAATGCACATATCTGTGCTCACAGAATAAAATGGTGTGGCTGGTTTGCTATTTTGAAGTCAAAGCCAACATTAAGTCTGGTCTTCTTGCAGCTTTGAAGTTACAGCCTCATTGCAAGAGATAAACATAACTTATAAGATAGCTCACATTTCAGGCTTTGATCATTCTTAATAGTTCTTTCTTTATAAAGGATGCATTGTTAAATTCTCTATTTAAACTTTGTTGGAAACATTAACACTGATCATACTCAAATCATTTGTCAAAAGAAATACAATCTACAGATATCTATAAATAACTGAAATAAAACAAACCTCTCAGCACCCTGATACTACAGCTAGATCTGCATAGTCAGACCTTTTCATCCACACAGAGAAAGGGTCCAGCATGGATCCGATTGCAGGACTGGGAGCCAATTTAGCTTACTGAAGGATACCAGAGGAGAAACGGGTTTGCTGTTTTTTCCTTTATGTTTTTCCTTCAAATGCGTTACTTAAACATCCATTATAAATAAATATACTTACATAACAATCCAAACACAACTAGTGTCACGAAAATATGGACCAGAAGTGTGGTGATGAATCTGAAGGTTAAAACCATTATTAAAGAGAAGGCTGGAAAATTAAAAAAAATATATAGAAAGAGTTAACTTCAGATGACTGTTATGATCTATTTAATCAGACTAATTAGTTTACAAAGAAAATTTAGTTTTTTCTACATTCCAGATTTTTTATACTTGTAAACACTGATCTCAAAAGCAGAGACCAATAGGTTTTAAAACTGAAGAGATTCTGTTTTGACCAGAAATGTTCCAAAATCAGGCCCTAAAATGACCAGAATTAGTAATTATGTAGAATAGTCAGGTTCTTAGGGTAAATTCATTACTGGCATAACCCTTGCCTTCTGAAGTCCATTCTCTCTAGGATGGATTTACCCTCTGTTCTCTCATTCTGAAGCTAGTTTTTGTTAATTTCAACTTACTCACGAAACATGAAATCAAAGCTATCAAACTGCTTTTTTTTAATGCTGAAAATGTAAAATGTAAAATTACAATTACCTATTAATAACTAGCTTAATTACTTTAATACTTATAGGCATATCAAAATTTTTCAGTTTACATGAGTAAGACTGTTACCTTCCTGTACTGTAGCTGTTGCTCTTCAAGGTGCGAGTGCACATGTATATTCCACTCAGGGGTCCATGCTGAGTGCACCAAAGCCAGAGAACTTTGCCTAGCAGTACACTGATGGGGCAGCGCTACCATAAGGGCGATCTCCTCAGTCTCTCTGTTCATCCCTGGGGTTCCAATCTACTGATTCAGTATCATAGTCAGATTTCACACCCAGCACTAAACAGCCTGCACCTCACAGCATGGATGCTGCATGGCTAGACAAGGAACAGGAGTGCTGTTCTGAAGCCGTTCGACAGGTTCTACTAAGGGCTACCTATCTGGCTAATGGAAACATTTTTCAATCTGATCCCTAGGCTGCAGGATTCTACCAATACAATCCTGCATTCAGAACATTCTGGAGTAATTGTTGCACCTCCAGTCCTCTGGTCCGTCTCCCAGTTTGTGGAGGGTCCATTTGGCAGCGATTCTGGCATTTCATCCTCCATCCAAAGCAAATCAAAGTCTTCTCAAACTCCATGGTAGTCAGATTTCTGAAAGGATCACTTCTCTTCCCACCCGTGCAGGAAGTGATTCCTCAATGGAACCTTAGCACTGTGTTGGAGGACTCATGAGTCGTCCATTTGAGTCCTTGGCAACTTTGTCTTTTGGTATAGTAGAGACAGAGAATCAGTTATTTGTGGCCATAACTTCTTCGAGTTGAGTTAGTGACCTGCAGAGCCTCATGGCATATACCTAGTATAACCAGTTTTTCAAAAACAAGGTCACTTTGGTGCCACATCTTAAGTTTTTATCTAAGGTCGTGTCAAAATTTCATCTTAATCAGACAATATTCACCTGTATTTTTTCCCAAACCTCATTCAAGCGCTGACGAACAGCTTTTTCATTCCTTGGATGAGACACAATGTTTGGCATTTTACTTGAAGGGAACTAAACCATTCCGTTCATCAATTCATCTTTTAGTTTCCTTTGCAGATTGCATGAAGGGTCTATTGGTCTCCATGCAGATGACTTCCAGGTGGATAACTTCCCGTATTAAAACAGCTTATGGGATAGCTCAGACTTCGCCTCCCCACAGGTTAAGAGCTATATGACTAGGTCCGAGGGACATCGGTCACATTTCTCAGTGGTGTTTTCACATTGGACATTTGCAGGGCTTCTACTTGGTTTTCCATACATACTTTAACCATATATTACATTATTACAATGGAGTGCAGATCAGATGCAAATTTTGGGAAGGCAGTATTGAGCAGACTCTGAGCCCCACTTCCTTCTGAAACTACTTGTGAATCACCTGAGTGGAGCACACATCTACAATCACTCGAAGAAAAGACTGTTAGTTACAGTACAGATAAGTGTTGTTCTTCAAGATGTAGGTGCAGAAGTGTATTCCACGACCCACCCTCCATCGCCTCTGCATCTGAGTCTCAATTCTTAATGTTTGGTGAAGGAACTAAGAAGGGTCAGAGTGCTCTTAAACAGCTTGGGAAGGAGCTAATGGCCAGAAGGCACCATCCCTACAGGTACTACTAGGTAAGGTTCTCTGGCTTTGATGTGCTTGGCACATGCACACTCAAGGGAAATACATGTCTGCAATCACTTGAAGAAACTACTTTCTAAGACCTCAATGGCCCCCTAAGAACGGCAAGAAAAGAGGAAATAGTATATATCATTAAAACGCACCTCATGCTAGGATAAATTCTGATTTTATAACTTTTTCACCTAAAGTTTTTAATGGAGTCAGACAAAAAACCAAACAAGTGATGCAGAGTAAGTTTCCAGTCTGGTTTCTATAAATCTGAATTTCATTAGTCTACTAAATGTCTTGTGAAAGCAAAACAGCAGTTCTCTCTTAAACAAAACAAATGTTTCTATGCAGCAAATATCAAGCTTCAATATTTTTAAAAATTGCATTATTCTTCCTACAAAGGTTTGAAACATGAAATTCTATTTTAACAATTTTTTTAAAATCCCTCTTCTATTCATAACTTTACCTAGTGCAAGGACACTCAGTCCTATTACAGTATCTCTTCCTGCCATTATTCCACTCAGAATACGATGAAAAGCATCGACTTCGTTTACCACATTTATCAAGATGGACGCAAACTGCGAATAGCACTCAGGGTTTTGTGGAACACAGCGATTAAACAATGGGAAGGATTTGCTGGAAAGTTAAAAAAACAGAGGTGGGAGAAAAGATTGATTACTGGAGAGTAAGGTTTCAGATACATTCAGGGATTAATCCCGCAGTCCCAAAACAAGTGCAATTCCCAATCAAGTTCCTGAGTTTTGTTTATATGTTGTATTATGTTTGCTTGCTTTTTAGTAAAAATGAAATATGTTAACACTGCCACCAAAATAAAGAAACAGTTCCAAATTAAAGTAAGCAGTTTATGCTGAATTTGGAATATTCAGACTGAACTTTAGGGTTCCCCTGAACTATTTCAGATTGTCTCAAAACACGTTTCAGAACTTAAGCCAACATACAGAGATCATTTCACCCTACCCACTAAACTGCAGCCTTCTAAACTTCTGGGATAAAATAGCACAGCCAATTTAACAATGCACAGCAACACTGCACAGTAGTTTATAACGGAAAGTGAGTATCTCTACCTCATTAAAACGATGGGAGAGATTTAGGAAGGCAGAACATATTCAGCTAAATTGGAATTTGCTCAGGTCATTGTGATTAATACTCCTACTCTTAGGAAGAGAGACACAGGATCTTTCATGGCCACAAATAGTCGGCAGGTCAGTTATATTTCATCTGAAAGACAGCACGTCTATCAGCATAGTGCCTTCATATGAGGTATTGGTTCACTATTGACTCAGGAAGAGTACCATCTACTGAACACCAACAGTGTTTTCTGCTCATTTTTGGGCTCCTATTCAAATATGAACTGGGCTTGACTTGATTAATTTGGGAGAATGGATGGAATCAAAGCACAAGTTAGTACGGCTGTAGTAATAAGTATAGGTATTTTCAATACACACTCAAATTTTGCATAGTGTTTAAGATATTCCAACAATCTTTAGGGTGTATTAAGCTAGACCTGACCAGCTTAGAATACAAGTAGCCCAGTCAAATATTTACATATAAAAATAACGTTATTTGGCATTGTTAGCCAAGTGTCTTAAATGTACTATCCCTCTAGTCTTGGCAATGCTACACTAAGCCAGCAAGAAGGTTTTTTAGATCTCAGAGAAACTCATGTGTGTGTCTAAAAGGACACAGCAGTCCATCAGCATAGTATGCCTCCCTAATTAATAAGTAAATGGTGACTGTTACTAGGGAAACTGCTTCGACCAGTTTTGCTTTTATGAGGAAGTATCACATACATAATAGAGACTGTTCTTGAGGATTTCACGCTGCAGAGAGGAAATACAGATTGTCAAAGAAATAAGTGTGAGGTGCCCTCTTTTCAATTTATTTCATGGTTCACCTCTGAAAGGTCTCTCATGCTCTTTTCCTCACTTTCCTTTGTGCAGCGGAGTAGGGAAGCATAAAGAGTCCAGTTCTGTGCCTTCAGGAGGCAATGGGACTTCACTTGAGCACATGCTTAAGAATCTCTGCTGAACAGGGGTATGAACAGTGTGTGTGTGGGGGGGGGTGGTGTATAAACATGAGAATTCAAAAATATAAAATCAAAGATATTAAACAAAGTAAAATCATTCTGATGGTTATGCATCAAGTGAAAACACAAAATGGGAAGGACAGTCTTTGAAAAGTTGTCTTGAATAAACAGTGCAGTAAAGCACCCTGTAATTCTTACCTTGGTGGAACTGGCAGTGTGGGACAAAGCTCAGCTGCCTTTGGATTTAGTGTGTAACTGGATATGTTCAAGTTATAAACACAAAGGCAAGAACCTATAGAATAAAAACCCCACACATGGTAACCTGTTATTAGTTCACATCCATTTCTGGGCAGAAAACACACTTCTTAAAAATACTAAAAATCTAAATAAATAGCACTTAATTGCATGGCTGCTCAAATCAGTTGCTGTTTTCAAGATTTTGTGCAGCATAATAAATATTAATTAGCAAAACTGCAGTGTTTTTCCTCAATAATTTTGTATTTAAGTAAAAACAAAAACAAAACAAAACAAAACAAAAACCATGATGCTAAACACTGTTCTGTTTAGGAGACAGCTTAAAATCTTATACAGTCCAGATAACAGTTTCATGAATCAAGATCAAACCCCTATCTGTTCTCTACAGAGAGTAATATTTTCAGTTTTTCCCACTTTTATCACTAAATTGTTGTAACTTGTTTTAGGAGAAGCAAGTACAACCAACTGAAACACTGGAAACCCCAAATTTCACTAAACTCAGATGATTATACTATTTTCTTTTCTCTCATTTCTCATACCTCCAGAAGCCTCCCCTTAGGGCCAAATTCAGAGATGTGTAACATGGTATAAATGAGACTTACTTTATACCCATTTGCTGGGCAGACCAAGCTTAGCCTGAGAAATTCGGCAACTGATCTAATAGAAGGTCACTCTAAAAATAAACTGCAACCAGCAAGTCCTTTAGTTGTCGCGATTTACTTTGCCACTGGAAATGGTCTTGTTGACCAAGAGTACATAAGTTGGTATGGAACTGCTCCTCCACCTTACAAATTTCTGGCACAGTTTAATAAGTCCCAGAGTAATAGGGGAATGGTGAAAGTGACAGGTGATGGACACCGCTGGGAGTCATAGTTGTGAACCTGCACGTGGGTAGGTCAAGACTCTGCATTGACTTGGGGTGATACTGTAGTCCAGCAGCATCTTGATTGACTCAGCTGCTCTACTCAGGAATAGCACAGTTGACCTCAATCAAAGAAGGGTGCTAAAAAAGTTCTCCTGAAAATTGCTCAACCTGAACAGCCCACTGAAGCTGGAGGACATCCCATCACACAGTCAAAATTCAAACAAGCCTTGAAAAGTGTCCTTTGTTTCAATGTTGCAAGGTGGACTGTTTGTAAGCTGCTTTACTGTCCAAACCAAACTAATGGTCCTGCCCGGTGGACTGCATCAGTTGCTCAAGAGCTTGAAGGATATTGTATCCACATTGCAGCTCAGAGAAAGATGTGACTTGCTGAAGAGGGTCAACTGGCTGAGGAGCATGCTAGGTATACTTTCTTCTGGAAGGGACACCCACAAAATGAGCCAACACAGGAGCTGGCTTTGCAATCAGAAGAAATTGTGTCTCTTCTCTGGACAGCCTACCCATTCTATGAACGACAGACTGAGAACTCTGACTGCCTCAAGAGGTGAATGTTACGCTTCAACAATCAGGTCTTACACATTGACAGTGATTAACTCTGATGAGGGTGTGACATTTTGGAGTTCAACCCAGACTAGTAAGGGGTTGTGTCACCACCTACCCTGCACCTCTGGGTGCTTTCAAAGCTATGCTTCTGTGGTTCACAGCCTTGACACCAACAGCCTGCACACAAGCATGCAGGTCACACCCGGGCTTCCACCACCCAGTTACTACTTGTAGAATGACCTTAATACTTCTCTGTCCTGAATTTCCCCAAAATCATCTGCCAATCTGCTGAGGGCCCAGAACTGAGTTACTGTATTACCCTCTGACTCAACAAGTGAGAGTTTTGCGGCTGCTAAGCTGTATGACAACTCCCTGTCACACCAGCTTGTGTGCCTTGCCAGCAAACTCTTCAGGGCTCTGCTAGCCCAAACCTTGCCCTATAGGTAACAAACAGTGAACCCCAACTCCCAAGTTCCCCAGAATGCCTCCCTGCAGCGTGCAGCCCTCTCCTGGAACATTCACAGAACTTAATAAGCTCTTTGCTCCTTCAAAGAGACCATGCAGCTCATTAATTTAACTGGGGTTTGACAAACACACTAATTTCAGTCACAGCTCTCAACTGGTTTATAGTAAAAGTAAAACAAGTTTATTTTAAAAAGGGTTTAGGATTAAGTGATATCCAGTATAAGGAATAAAGACACAAAAGGCTACAAACAAACAAACAAAAGTAAAAATATGCTGAAAATTGTTTTAGTCTTAGAAGCAAGTTACAATCTTTGCCTAAGCAGGTTTCTCACCAAACTAAGTTCCCAGAAGACTTCAACCCCTTTGGCTGAAGGATCCAGCTCTGGCCCTTTGAATCTCCCAAGTGATGGACAACTCACCTATCCTTTTGCCCTCCTTGTATCACCACAAAGTTCACTGTATCTGTCTCAAGAGCCTAGAGGGCTTCCTGCTGTTCTTCCCTTCTTGTGGATTTCCTATCCTCATGCTAATTTGTATTTAAATGGGGCTTCCATTGTTTTGATTCCACACTGCTTAATTTACATTGGAGACAGGTAGATAGCTGCCCTTTCTCCTGTCTGGAAGAAACCCTGTTTTTCCCTGTATTTGATCACAGACTTTAAAGCATAATATCAGTGAGTATCCATAATTCCTCCGAGAGTGTTAATACATACATTTCACAATGATATTAATCACCAGAGTGTCACTGGCTTTCATAAATACCTTACTAGATACAATTTTAGAATACAGTAATATTGTATACAGTCAGTTGATTCCATTGCTTATCATTTGAGGTTCAGAACCCCGTCTTTATTGTTAAGAGGCTACCTCCCCCACTTGCTAATTTGATACCTTTTTTTAACCTTGCATGTAAATGTACATTCACTGTCTCTGCCTGATGACCAGGCTTGTCAGATAAGGAAATGACAAATTCCTTTGTCTGAGGCAGACTGTGCTTATGTATTGCTTGCCAAACACATTTTAAGAACATATTTCTAGTGCATATATTTATAACTTTGTTCACATCCCATACATAAGTCACACAGGAATATTAATGAGGATATATTACATGCCAACTTTGGAGCATATATCACGACTAAGGATACAATTCTGTCACGGAGGTCATAAAGATCATGAACTCCATGACTTTCCGGGACCTCCATGACTTCTTCTGGGGCAGGGCTGGAGCAGCAGCCCCCGGAACAGCTAGCGAGTGGCCAGCCCTGGGGCCGAAGGAACAGCGGCCGTGGTAAGCTCTGGAGCTGCTGGAGCAGCAGCCAGCCCCAGAACCTCAATTTGGGACAGTTCCTCAGATCTGTCACCCAAGAAAAATGGCTCAGGTTTGGGAATCTCCCTCACATCCTCAACAGTGAAGACCGATGCAAAGAATTCATTTAATTTCTCCTCAATGGCCTTATCGTCTTTGAGTGCTTTGCTGAGGCAGCTAATAACTTTGGCTTCACCATCAGCCCAACAAAAACCAAGCTTATGTACCAGCCAGCTGCTCAACAGCCTTACCAAGACCCATCAACAAGCTTGGAAGGTACCAGGCTCCAAGTCATCAAACAGTTTACTTATCTCGGCAGCATGTTGGAACAACAAAGTGACAATTGACCACAATGTGGATGTGTGAATTAAGAAAGCCAGCACTGTATATGGTCACCTCTATCACTGAATCTGGAAGCAACATGGAATATATCTACAGACCAAAAAATCAAAGTCTATAATGCTGTTGTCCTCACTACATTGTTCCACGGGTGCGAAACATGGACCTGTTACCAGTGGTATGTGAAAAATCTTGCCAGTTTCTATTTGTGACACCTACAATGATTGCTGGGCAACAAATGGCAGGACCGGATTTCCAACACTGAAGTCCTAGCAAAAGCTGGTTCAGTTGGCATCAAGACTCATTTGATCAGTGCCCAAATGGAGACGGACTGGCCATGTAATTTGTATGCCTGAGACCCATCTATCAAAACAAGTCTTATATTCCAAATTAAGCTCCAGCAATCTTAAGTGTGGAGGGCAGATTAAATGCTTCAAAAGACACCCTGAAACAAAATCTACAAAAAATGCACATTTTGAGTTGAATAATGAGCAACCGGTGATTGAGCATTCTTAAGGGTAAGATTCGGTGATTTTCCAAAACCTCCATGACTTCCAAAGTGGCAGAGCTGGAGCAGCGGCCCCAGGGCTGAAGCAGCCAGGGCCAAGGGGGGAGGAGAACGGGGGTTGGGCCAGCCCCTGCCACAGGAGTGTTAGGATATAGAGTATAGGCCTTTACAGACAGGCCTGACAGGTGGGGAAATTGGAATCATGTTTTGCTAAAGGGGGAAATGGGAACAGGGAATGGGGGTAGGGAAATTGGAATCATGTTTGGCTAAGGGCAGGAATGGGAACAGGGACACAGGTGTAAGGCTCTGTGGTGTCAGAGCTGGGAAGGAGGACACGAAGGAAGGAAACTGGAATCATGCTTGCTGGAAGTTCACCCCAATAAACATTGAATTGGATATAATTGGTTACATAATCATGTTACAATATGTTAGGATTGGTTAGTTAAATTTCAGGAAAATGATTGGTTAAGGTACAGCTAAGCTGAACTCAAGTTTTACTATGTAGTCTGCAGTCAATCAGGAAGCGGGCGGGTGGGTGAGAAATGGGAACAGGGAATGGGGGTGGGGAAATTGGAATCATGTTTTGCTAAAGGGGGAAATGGGAACAGGGAATGGGGGTGGGGAAATTGGAATCATGTTTGGCTAAAGGCAGGAATAGGAACAGGGACACAGGTGTAAGGCTCTGTGGTGTCAGAGCTGGGAAAGGGGACACTAAGGAAGGAAACTGGAATCATGCTTGCTGGAAGTTCACCCCAATAAACATTGAATTGTTTGCACCTTTGGACTTCGGGTATTGTTGCTCTCTGTTCATGCGAGAAATACCATGGAAGTAAGTGGGTGAAGGAATAAGCCCCCTAACATCTTGGTGCTGGTGACTCACTAGGATGCATCGCATCGGATAGGTGAGTGGCAGCCTGTAAGTCCCCCTCCCCAACAGTCCATGCAGCTGCTTGGAGGGGGGTATCACAAACTCTCGTGATGGTAGTTGTGGGT